TTATTGGGAGTAAGTTGCATTACAAACTATAGATGTAATAAAAAGCAGCCCTCTGGATATCCCAATAACTATTTGATCAGGCCCCCTGGCTTCCTCAAGTTCTAGAGAACTTGATATATTACACACTTCGACATTTTAGTTGGTCCTCATTAAGGTATTTTGCCCACCTATGGATCTTGAGAAACAATAGGAGTTACTGTTTATTTCTGACCAAATTATTGCAGGATCGCATTTTAATTGCATGTAATGGTACTTGCTGCTGTATGCATTGCCAGTCAGAAACTATTATGTCACTTTGTATAATTTTTGTTTACAAGGGAGGGAAAATAAATTATTGAAAAGGAACTTTTTTTTTAACATTTCCATTTTTGCCATTTCCAAATCCATTATATTATTACCCTTTTTTTAAAAAAAATGTAAAAGAAACAGCAAACAATTAATCTGGAAGCAAGGATTAGTTTGTATATTTTGTAGTTAGTGGTGGACTTTATTTCGTTAAAATATTTCAGTTATTTGTAAACAACTGCCACACTGTCTTTTTACTGATGGGTTCAGAGGATGATTCACAACTTAATTTAAAAACACATTTTACATTAATAACTTCAGAAGGAGTCAGAAGATAGCAGAACAGCAACTATAGCCAGAATCATATTCAGGTGGCCATGGGATCCAGAATAGGTACTCTGAAAATGATCTTAAAATATGAATGACTGCATCTAATGTATCATGTAGCTGATAAAAGCACCCCTAGCTAATGCTGTTGCAAAGGAGTGTATGGGAGATTAGCCCCAAGAACTAATTGGAAATCTAGAGTCTTCAGGGAAACTGAAACCTCACCCAAACCAGGATGTAGACCTGTTAACAAGAAACTAGTTCCCAGTTACTGGTGTTTTTTCTCATTGTAGTTTGTTTACCCTTATCTCACAGTTAACGTTACTCTCACCCATATATTTTATACCTGCAATCAAACACTAATTTACATTTTACAAGCATTTCCATCTGGAACTATATTCTGTATTACAAGATTTTTTCAAAAGCCCCTACAAATCTTTGTTATAGTATACCAAAAATATTTCTGGCCTTGAACTCAGAAATGAACTTCTGAGTCATGAAGCCTGGCTGAAAAGGTAGATATATAGGATATAAACCACCATATCACCCAGGCTTAGATAAAACATGAGGCAGAGACTTACTCCAGGTTTCCAACCTTGCCATCCCCCCTTCACCTTTCCCATTAAAGCCTTACTTTAGCAAGCTGCAGGTGGTTGTGGTCTGTGGAGAAATATGTATTTATTTATTGCACTTGTAAAGAGTGTAGAGCGATAGTCTCGCCAGTCTCTAGGCTGTGGAACTGTGCAGATTTGCCCATATGTGTTCATGCTGCAGTTCTTCAGATAATGTCGATATGGAAAAATTCTGGTTACCTGACAGTAGATAAATGCACAGAAACCTGATACCTCACTGATAATTACTGATACCTATTTGACTAATAATAGGGATACTGTATATAACAATGTATAAATCTAGAAATTTTAGTCAAAAAATTGACCCCTAAAATCTGGGTTGACTTATTCATGCGTCAGTGTAAATACTGTACTTTAACTCATAGAAAAGGGCCCCCTCACCTGGTGACAGGCAAGAGTGTAATGTGTCCTGGAAGCAATGCCTTCTCATCTCTACTCTCATTCATCCAGCCTTTTGGGTGAGCACAAACAGTTATGCCTGCCAGAATTTTGTAGATTCTTTGGCATCATTTTCCTTTGCTTCATTGTTTAGATCCTTTGTTGCATGCCCCTAAGCTTTACTCTTGACTTATCCATGGGTCATATCAAAATCCATAATTTTGGCCCTAAAACCTGCCCTCAACTTATACAGGAGGTCAGTTCATAGTCGGGTATATATGGTATTTCTGTGATTATGGAAGGGCAGGTAGACACAGAGCCCAATGTCTAGCATAACGTCTGGGAAGTGGAGAGACTGAGACGTGGAGAAGCTAAGCACATGGAATGCAGAGGTAAAGGAATGAAGAATGCTACTGGAGTGGAATGAACTTAAAACATTTCATGCAACTTCCCATAGAATTTTATGTACAAAAATCACAAATGAAAATGTGTGGCCTGTTCTTGTGGAATTCTCTCTGATGAGATGCGTGTATGGTTCCCCTTTGACTGTTTACAAATAGTCTTAAAGATTTATTTATTTTAGATGATGTTTCAAAAATTTCTTTTTTGAAAGGTTTACATTGTTTGTATCCTCATGTTGTTGTTGTGTGCCTTCAAGTTGTTTCTGACTTGTGGCAAACCTATTACGGAGCTTTCTTGGCAAGATTTGTTCAAAGAAGGTTAGCAATTGCCTTCCCCTGAGGCTGAAAACATTTGATCTGCCCAAGGTCACCCAGTAGGTTTCATGGCTGAGTTGGGATTTGAACCCTGGTCTTCAGTGTTGTAGTCCAACGCTCAAACCACTATATCACACTGACTCTTTTATACAGTCATATAACATTGCATTTTAAAATATCTTTGAATATTTTAATTAACTGTATTTTATTGTTTTAAAGTTTAGTTCTGTGAACTGCCATGGGAGGCTTTGGATAGAAAAGCTGTGCAAAGACAATTTTAAATTTTAAAAAATTGTTTGGAAACTTACCCTGTATTAGTACTAGTTGGGTTAACGGAAGAAATATGTTTATTTTAAGTACCCTCAGGACTTGTGAAAAATAGTGTGTATTGAATAATCTATCTCTCCAGTGTATGTTTTCTCAAGATAGCGTCTAGGTAGTACTATTCAGGTTTTAAGTTAGCAAGGAAGAAGTCAGGTATGTAACACTGGGAGATAAAATGGTGACATATTCTTGTGTCTATCATGATCAAAAATTGATCAGTCTGCTACTGTTGCATATAAAAATATGGAGGAAAGGTGGGATTTCAAGATTCTGATATTTGAATATTTTAACACACAGTCCAGTTGGAAGCAAACTTTAAGGAAATGGAGGATCATTTACTATATCTTGAGAACTTATGTGGACAGTATGAGTTGGAAAGATACAAACATATGCAAGTGCTACAGTTGGAAAAATACAAAAAGACTAAACGGTAAGTTTTGAATATATTTAAATTTAATATTTGATTTTTCAGATTAAATCCTTCTTTTATATGTAAGCATACGTTTATCTTAATTATTTTCTTTCTTGTCTGTGAAGTGTGCAAACCTATTCTCCCTAAAAAGGGATTAGAATAGCTCCTGTTGGCACTGAGATTCAGGCCGCAATTGTATTACCTGGAAATAAATCTCATTGAATTTATGGTTGGGGTTATGCTCCATAAGAACTTGAAAAGGTTACTTTTTAGTTTCTTAAGTTTTCATCATTTAGTTATTACAGTATCTTCCTGTTTATATATAGTTGCCCCTCCATTTTCATGGACTTGGCGTCCACGTCCCTCACCCATTTGTGGGTGGCAAAACGGAGGGAGACAAAATTGGGTGGCAGCACGGCACCATTCAAGCCAATGGGACTTGAATATTAATGATTTTCCATTTTCGTTGGGGGGGGGCGGAACAGAGGGATGACTGTAGTCCTGTTCTCTTAACATTAATCTGATGTATGGGAAAGAGCACTCACTGCCTTCCCAAGACTGATCCCACTGTTCCTAGCCTTGGATGCCTGCCACTCTCATCTTAACCCAAAGTCCCCCTTCAGAATTCCTCCTTGGATTTAGGGTAACTGGCTCTCCAAGTGATCTTACTGAGGACTTGTGTGTGTGTGTGTGTTAGTTTTCTGTTCTCCACCCCTTTATTAGAGTCATAGAACAATAGAGTTGGAAGAGACCACAAGGGCCATCCAGTCCAACCCCCTGCCATGCAGGAACGCACCCCTGACAGTCCATATGTCCATTTAAAGACCTCCAAAGAAGGAGACTCCATCACCCTTTGAGAGAGTGTGTTCTACTGTCAAACAGCTCTTACTGTTGGGAAGTTCTTCCTAAGATTTAGGTGGAATTTCTTTTCGTGTAGTTTGAATTCATTGCTCCAGATCCTAATCTTGAGCAGCAGAAAACAAGCTTGCTCCATCATCAATATGACACCCCTTCAGATATTTAAACAGGGCTATCATTTCATCTCTTAACTGTCTTCTCCAGGCTAAACATACCCAGCTCCCTAAGTCTCTTCTTGTAGGGCATGGTTTCCAGACCCTTCACCATTTTGGTTGCTCTCCTCTGGAAATGGTCCACCTTGTCAACATCCTTTTTGAACTGTGGTGCCCACTACTGGACACAGTATTCCAGGTGAGGCCTGACCAAAGCAGAATAGAGTGGCATTATTACTTCCCTTGATCTAGACCTGTACTTCTATTGATACAACCTAGAATCGAATTGAGGGTAAAGAAGAAAGTCTGAGTCAGAGTTAACAAAATAGCAAGAGAGTTATTGTGTTTTATTATATCATGCAGAAAAATAAATACTTTAACAAGGTCCAGTCTTAATTCCAAACATATAACAACATTCAACCGGAATATTCCTTTACTGTGAGCTCTCGACTCCCTGTCTCAGAATCTCCTCAGACACACACTCCTGCTTTTTATACTTCCCTTTCCCCTGCACCACCTCTTCACAGTCTCTCTGATCTGTGGTTGGTTGTCAAGTCTGCCCAGCTTCTTCATCACAAGTACACTCAGTCCTCCGTATGCACTGATTTTGCATCCACTGATTCAACTGTTCACAGCTTGAAAATATTTGTTAAAAGTTCCAAAAAGCAAACCTTGATTTTGCCATTTTATATGAAGGATACTATTTTACTATGCCATTGTATATAATGGGACTTGAGTATCCATGGATTTCGGTATCCATGGGGGGGGGGTCCCGGAAAGGAATGCGCAGCAGATACCTAGGGTCCACTGTATCTTCCTGTTATATTGTCCTGTTCTGTCAGCATTCTGATGTATAGGAAAGGGCCCTGCATAATTATGCTGGATTTTATTTCTTTGGCTGAGATTAGAAGATAAATGCTTCTCTAGTAACAACAGTGGGACCATCTATTTCTTTGAGTTAAATGATAAATTTGTTCATCAAGTTGTCATTCAGTCCTCAGGAGAAATTGCACTGCTTAGTTTGCTGCTGGCATCTAGTGAGGATAAGATAAATGACTGTTGGAAATAAACTAGGATCAAATGATCACAGGTTAGTTCAGCTTGATTTAATATTTGAAATTCCCATTGGAATAAGAACAGCAATTAATCTATTTGATTTTTAAAGGGTGTTTATACTGTATATTAACTATGTAATTGATGTTTTAACTGTACGCCGCCCAGATTGGATTACCAATGGGCGGGATATAAATAAATTTTATTATTATTATTATTATAAAGCACATTTTCTGAGAAAATTTGGAATCAAATTAGTGAGGTGAATTGAATTAGTGTACTATGGCCTTGAAGATGAAAACAAGAATTATACATCCCATTCAAAGCAAGCAAAATACTTACAGGAAAAGTCTTCATGATTTTAGCTAGATAACCAAAGTTTTTGGGCAAGCTATGTTTTAAGAATGGCAAAGAATTTGTATTGTTCAAAACTGTTAAGTCAGCTAGGTTCTCATGAAGTGGCGTGGAAAACATGTAGCTCTTCAAATGTTGATAGATTGCAACTCCTGTAGTCCCCATCCAACAGATCAGTGGTGGGAAATGATGAGAGTTAAAATGCAAGAATATCTTGATGGCCACTCTTTTTCCATTCCTGTTACAAAGCAGCTTTCATAGCTGTTGAAGAAAAGGAAAGTACACTCTGACCTCTGCCATTGGCCAGGTGACACTCAACTGGTTGTACCCTGTGCCTTCCAGGAAGAACATTATGGCAACCTGGCCTCCATTGGCCAGAGAAGCAGAAGCTGCAGCTATTCCACCCCAATGAAGACTTGACTTCAAATGTCAGTTGCCCTGGGACTGTACTTTAGATGGGAAGCTTGTGATCTTGTTAATCAGCCAGAGGGCTAAGGTTGTGAGTGGGTTTGGAGAAGTTTTGTACAATTGACTCTCCGTGTCCATGAGTTCTTTATCCATGGATTTAACCATCCACAGCTTGAAAATATTCAAAAGAATAAATAAATTTCAAAAAGCAAATCTTGATTTTGCCATTTTATATACGGGACACTATTTTACTATGCCATTATATTTAATGGGACTCCTTTCCCTAAGCAAATGATTAAGGGAAAGTGGGTATATATCCCTCCCCCAAACCCTAACATAATGCCAAACACACCTCTCCAGCTGTGTGCTTCCATGGGGGTGGGATCCCACGCCTGCCCCTGTGGGATAGAAGGGGGTCTCTGGTTGCCCGGAGAGCAAGTGAACACCCTGCCTGGCTCAGGTGGCAAAGTGGCCCTGGAGGAGAGGGGGTGCCCCAGGGAAGGAGGAGGGAGAAGCAGCCTCAGGCAGGAGTGCCACAGGGGCCAGTGATTGGGGAAGAGGTTTCTGCCAGGCCTTTTCCTGATGCAGAGCTCTGGCAAGGGGCCACTGGGCCTTTTGCCTCCTGGGAACCAGCGCAGGAGGGGAGAAGGGGAACCTTTTGCCACTCTACTCTGAGAAGGGGATGGTTCTGTTTTTGATAAAATGTAAGATTTATTATTACTAATATAACTATATACATTAAAAAAAAGAACCATCCCCTTCTCTGAGTAGAGTGGCAACAGGCCTTTTCGAATGCCTGGGTGGGAAATTGACTGCAGCCAGGGGTAGCTGGCCTCCTGAGGCGCCACCCTGGTGCTTTCACCTCTCCGCAGAATGGATCCATAGAGCCCCATGCTAGGTTTTACTTTCGACCTATCCACAGATTATATCAAAATCTATAATGTTTGCCCCAGAACCTGCCCTCAGTTTATACGTGATGTTGACTTGTACAAGAATATATACAGTATTTTTTTTTAAAACTTTGGAGCTTACCGTATTTTTCGGCATATAAGACGCATTTTTTCTTCCCCAAAACGAGGGTGGGGAAGTTGGTGCGTCTAATAAAGTGAATATACAGGCTGAGGGCAGACTAAAGTAAAACTGCCGAGGCTGGAGCTAAAAGTAGGCCTCATTTCAACCTCAGCCTCGGTGCTCCAGTGGG